TTCCGGAGCCTCCGGGTCTGGGAGCTGCTCGGCATCCTGCCCCTCAAGGTCCTTCGGGGACTGGGGCGCTGGAGGCGCTGGGGACGGCTGCGGGGTGCTCTTGTCCGCGCTGTCCGCCTCGGCTCGCTGCCGCAGCCACTCATCCCTGTAGCCGTTGCTGATGAGTTTGGAGAAGTTGGTGGGGGAACTGGTTTTGTGACCAGGCCTGGGAACGAGAGAAACCAACGACAAGCCGAAGTACCAAGGTTAATGGTAATTCTGAGTTCCCAGCAAACATCCTGACAATAAATTAGATGCTTATTGTTCCTTAAAACATCACGGAGACTCTCTCTCTCTCTCGCTCTCTCTCTCTCTGAAGAATTAGACAACTGACCCATTAATTGCAGCACAATTTGAGGCGAGTGAAGAGACACCTCCTGTTGAGAGGGACACGGAGCAGCAGGCAGCAGGCCCGGCAGGCGCTGGGAAGTTGCAACCTCAGAGCCATATTCCACGCGTGGCGGGAACCGCTGTCCTCAGGCCCGTGAGCCAGCGTGCGGCTGCCTCTCAGTCACTGGTCACGTGGACCCAAGACCAAACCCCACAGAGCCCGCCAGCGTGGGAGCCCCAGCACTTACATGGGGGGGAAGGAGAGCCTGCGTCCTGCAGGATCTCGGGGGCCCAGTGGGGGCCCCGCTTTGCTGGAGGACCTGGAGTGAATGGCGGGGAGCCTCACCTGGGAGAGAAACACACAAACCCTGGTTCAGCGAAAAGCGCTCAGCAGCCGGGCGCCGAGGGAGAAGGCGGCTCGCAGCCGGCACAGCGCGTGTGTCTCTCTCTCTCTCTCCCCCACACACACACACACACACACACACACACACACACACACACACACACGAGCCACGCTGCCACGCCGTGCGGCAACCCTGTCAACACCGCGGTGAGGAGTCCACGGCATTCACGGCACTGCTGTTCCAGCAAAGATGCCCCGACTGAGAAGGGAGGCGGAGCAGCTCAGGCGGGAAATACCGGGGGAGGGCAGGGTCCCAGCTCGGAGGCGGCAGCCCCAGCTGGGGTCCGGGGTCTCCCTGAGCGGTCGAGGGGGAGCCAGACTGGACAGGGCGGAAGGTGGGCTCCTTGCCGTCCAGCCAGGGCAGAGCGGGACCTGCTGGTGTGTCACTCTGCACAGCCCCCACCAGGCACCGAGCACGTGTGTCTGATGCCGAGGACTTGCTGCAGCCCAAGAACTCCAGGGGGCACAGAGGAGGAAGGGGGGGCTGTGGCGACGGGGAAGGCACGAAGCTGAGGAGGAGGAGGTCCTGGCGGAGCGGAGGTCGGCACAGAGGAGAGACGCTCTCCCGTCAGGACCTCGGGCCGAGGAGGGTGGGGCTGATGTTCAGAAATAGAACCAGGGACCCGGCGAGTGACAGGCATGAGGGGTGATGGGAAGGTTACTCCCGAAATAAAAGCTGGGACGGGGTGGGGGGAGGGGAACTGTGAAACTTTTAGTCAAAGTCCCAGGGAAAGACTGTGACCAGGGGTCAGACAGAGATTTCATAGATAGAAAGTCATAAGTGAAACAAACAGATGAATCAGACTTTATCCAGACCGAGAACTTCTGTTCTCCCAGAGACAGTGTGAAGAGAAGGAAGGAAGTGACAAGCCACCGATGGGGACCAGATGCAGGTCGGGCTCGGGTCCGGGAAAGGGTCTCCAGACGACACTCAGGGACTCTCCAGCCGCCAGGAAGCAGGATTGATTTAAAACGGCCAAACCGGCCGAAACCGGTTTGGCTCAGTGGATAGAGCGTCGGCCTGCGGACTGAAAGGCCCCAGGTTCGATTCCGGTCAAGGGCATGTACCTGGGTTGCGGGCACATCTCCAGTAGGAGATGTGCAGGAGGCAGCTGATCGATGTTTCTCTCTCATCGATGTTTCTAACTCTCTATCTCTCTCCCTTCCTCTCTGTAAAAAATCAATAAAATATATTTAAAAAAAAAGAATCACAATTATTATTGTGGGCAATCTGAATAGGTATAAATGTAAGTCCTATTAAGCATTTATCACACACAAAAAAGATTAACCTGAAGTACAGCTTAATTATTTTGTTGCCTTTATTCAAATTTCCATCTCTTGGGCATTTTAATGAGAAGTATAGAAGCTGTTTAAAAGGTACTTTAAAGTTAGACACAATTACTAGAAGTTGCTTTTCTTTATATCAAAATTTTCATTTGTGCATTAAGTATAAATCTATAGGCAATAACCATGCTTCACTATATATTCTTTGTATGTAAGATCACTCAATGTAATGACCTCTCAATTTACTCCTTTAAAATACTATAAGGATCAAAAGAGCAAAGGCAACAGCTAGAAAATAAATTAAAAATTCTTAGGCTACCTCCACAGCAATCCAAGTAATATGCAACTGAATAAGTTATAAAATGCATTTAGAGAACAGAGACTTCTCATGAAGGTCAGCATGCCCGTGTCATGACCCAGCTGGTCGGTGTTTACCCGACTGACGTGCAGTGAAAACCTGCCTCCCACACGGCCTGCCTGTCCATACAACCTGCCTGCGTCCATATGACCTGTCTGCGTCCACACGGCCTGCCCACGTCCACACAGCCTGTGTGTCCATACAACCTGCCTGCGTCCATACGACCTGCCCGCGTCCACACGGCCTGCCTGTCCATACGACCTGTGTGTCCATACAACCTGCCCGTGTCCACACGGCCTGTCTGCTTCCACACGGCCTGACCATGTCTACACGGTCTGCCTGCGTTCGCATGGCCTGTCTGCGTCCACACGGCCTGCCTATCCATACGACCTGTGTGGCCATACAACCTGCCCACGTCCACACGGCCTGTCCGCTTCCACACGGCCTGCCCACGTCCACATGGCCTGCCCATGTCCACACAGCCTGTCTGCTTCCACATGGCCTGACCACGTCTACACGGTCTGCCTGCATTCGCATGGCCTGCCTGTGTCCACACGGCCTGTCTGCGTCCACACGGCCTGACCACATCCACACAGCCTGTGTGTCCATACAACCTGCCCGCGTCCACATGGCCTGCCTGTGTCCACACGGCCTGTCTGCGTCCACACGGCCTGTGTGTCCATACAACCTGCCCACGTCCACACGGCCTGTCCGCGACCACACGGCCTGTCTGCGTCCACACGGCCTGACCACATCCACACAGCCTGTGTG